TAAGTATAGGGTTTGTGAGGCCTTATAAGAACAGCACAACCTTGAGGCAGTGGCACAGGTAAGGAAATTTCCTGCCACTGAGGCCTGAAATGAAATTTGAAATAACCAGTCTGAAAGAAAAAGGAAGGGCTTTTCCTTTTGGGGATTTAGGGCAAAGGACAGCCTATGTCGCATTCATGGATGTGCTTCATGACTGAGGTCCAGAGTACAAAACAGTAAAAGCAGCAGCTGGCACAATAATTGTCAAATTATGGAAGGTCTTGTAAACCAGGCTGGGGAGTTTGGACTCTTCCCTGAAAGCAATGGGAAGCTCACAGGAAAATGGACTGGTGGGTACAGGTGAGAGCTGGTATATCAGTCAAGAAATTACCACAGTAATCTATGTGGGAGAAAGTGAAGGCCTAATGATCTACTGCTAGTAAGCATACTGAGAAGTTGGTTGAATCAATATATTAAAGAAGCAAAACCAGGCAAACTGATGATATCCTAGATGGAGGGCATGAAGCATTAAGAAGCATCCAAGGAGCTGGGAGTGGGCACACTACTCCCAGATACTTGGGAGGCTGAGGCAGGAGGAGTCCAAGTTCAAGTCAACTTGGGCAACTTAGCAAGACCCTATCAATCAATAAATAAAAGTTGGTTGGGGGGCCTTCTGGGGGGTATAGTTCAATGACATAGAGTTTGCCTGGTATGTTCAAGGCCCTAGGATCATTCCTCAGTACCTCCCCCGCCCCCCAAAAAAGTATCCAAGGCATTAAAGACAGCATCCTAAGTTTCTAACTTGAGTTGACAAAGTTGGGTAACTGAATTCAAAGAGTAGAGATGAAACAGAAGAAGTAAAGAAGTGATGAGTTCCATTTTAGATGTTATGTTGAGGTACCTCTGGGGTATCAAGGAAGAAATGTTCAGGAAACAGATGGATCAATGGGTCAGGAACTCAGGTGGAAAATCTAAAATAGAGACAAAGATTTTAGAATCATCAGCAGAGAGGCTGGTGTGTTAAGCATAACAGTGATAATGATGATTGCAACTGTTCTGAACAGAGCAAGGTTTTGGAAGCAAGCAAAACCAAATCAGAATCCTGGCTTCTTAATTTCGCTCAACCATTATTTCATCAATAGTGAAACTGAAATAATATCACTTATCCAAAGGATTAGTGTACAGATTTATATATAAAGCTGCAACATTTGTTCATAGTGTGGGAACAGTTCTGGAACTTAATGGGAACTCAATAAAAAACAAACTCTTGTATAAGTGAATAATAGGTTATCGCTCTCTTCTTCTCTCCTCCCCCCCCTATATATAGTTGCTGATAGACCTTTATTTTCTATTTATTTATATGTAGTGCTAAGAATCAAACCCATTGCCTCCCACGTGCCAGGCAAGAGCACTACTGCTAAGCCTCAGCCCCAGCTCTCTCTTCCCTTCCTTTTGACTAAATAATCCCTGAAGTTCTTTTCTCTCTTGACTCAAATGGTACATGATACTCCAACCACTCTACTTCTTCCATACTGGCTTTACCCTTATGTCTGTTGCTAAGGCTCAGGCCCTGGTCTTTTTACATTTGCTATCTCAATGACCACAACTTCTAGCTTCACTTATCACCTTTGTACAGAATGAATCCCGAGTCTAAAACTCCTATTTCTCACTCACATTTTAGTCTAGATTTACAATGTCTCTTCAGCTCACTGTCTTACTGACAGTGTAAATCAAATCGATAAAAACGATCACCTTGGATCATATTTGCTTCTAGACTTATTTCTCTCTCTTACCATCCATTTCTATCTAAACAGTCAGTTTTCATTTAACAAATATTTATCATGAACCTAGACTGAATGTTTATATTGTCCCTTGAATTCATATGGAGCCTAATCTCAAATGAGATGGTCTTAGGAAGAAAGATTTTTGAGTGGTTATCAGGTCATAGGGCCCAGCCCTCATAAATGGTATTAGTGTCCTTATAAGAAAATAAAAGGCACAGATATCTCCCCAGCTCCTTCTGCAATATAAGGGCACAGTGAAAAAGATTATGAACCAGGAAGCAGGCCCTCACTTGACATCTAATCTGCTGGCAAAGAAAATGTTTATAAACCACACAGCCTAGGGTACTTTTGTTATAGCAGCCTGAATAAACTAGGATACCTACTATGCTATACTGGTGAACAAGACAAATCCTTGCATTCATGGGGGAACATCACTCAGGAGCTTAGTAAAAATGCAAATTCTCAAGCACTGAGTCAGAATCTTTGGGGAGTGCAGCCCAGCAATCTATGTTTAACAGTCTTCCAGGAGATTCTTAGAAAGGTTAAAATGTTAGAAGCACAGCTCTAGTTATCTTTGATTCTTCCTTCTCTGTGCCAACTAACTGAATATCAAACTTTGAAAACTACTCCATAGGTTTTTTCCAACCCCATCTTAGTCGAGAACCTTTTTACCTCATGAGTAGACTGCTATAAAATCTCTCAACATGTTTTCTGGCTTTAGTCGATGCTGATGATACTGCCAGATGAAATACTTTTCTAAAACACTGTTGTCACTGATACCAATGATTAAAAACCTAGAATGAATTTTCTACCATCTACTAAAGGAAATAATAGCATCTTTTTGATTTGTGGAGTTGTAATAGTTTCCTAAGAGAAACTGTAACAGAGGGCAAGGGATTTAGTGGTTTAAACCAGCAGAAATCTATTCTCTCACAGTCTGGAAGCTAAAAGTCTGAAAATAAAGTATTGGGAGGGTTGCTACATTCTGAGAGATAATCTATCCCATACCTGTCTGCTAGCCTCTGATGACAGCTGAGGTGTCCTTGTTTTGTAGAGGTATCACTACAATTTCTACTTCCATTTTTACCTTAAATTCTGTGTGTTTCTTCACATGGCTGTTTCTTATAAAAACACCAGTTACATTAAATTCTCTGTACAACTAAGAGCAAATCTGTGCTCCAGGATTCTCCCCTAAATTTCCCATAATTATGCTTTTTCCCCTTCTATACCTTTGTCCATTGGGGATGGATGCAATGCCCTTCTTACTCTACTCCATTACATCTGAAATAAAAAATTCAAATAGCTGCCAGACCAGATGCTCCATGACAACCCTCAACACTTTGCTTCAGGACCAGGGAGACAATGGAGATTAGAGGGAACTAAAGACCTGGAAATTTTATTGAGTCTGAAGGAGAGTGCTGCTACTCAACTCAAGGTACCACGCAAATTATGTGGGCCCTGATTGGGAACATGTGTGCTCACGTACACAAAGTGTTAAGTTTTGCTGTGCTTAGCAAAACAAGGAGTTCTGTGAGAAAGTATGAACTCTTTGAACTGTGTCCTTGTTGCTGTCTTAAGAAGATAGGAGAAAAGAATGTTCTGCCAAGTGTAAAATTTATATATATATATATATATATATATATATATAGAGAGAGAGAGAGAGAGAGAGAGAGAGAGAGAGAGAGAGAGAGTTTGCCTGGGAATAACTAACCACAAGCTAATTGATAAGAAATACGGAGCACTGTGACCATAAACAAAGTTTTCCTGAGAATGTTTATCTATGCTTGTAAGGAGTAAGCTGCCAAAAGGATGTTTTTTCTTTCCCCTTGTTTTAATTAACAATGCTGTATAAAAGAAGGAGAGAAAAAAGTAAAGGCGGTGCTCATTTTCTACTGAATGCCTGTGTGTGCGCGTGTGTCTTTCTTAAGCATCTCTGCTGTACCAGAAATTACAGATTCTCAGCAGGTCTGACAGCAACATCTTCTGATTTTTCAAGAAAAGTTGGGAATTTAGATTATGTGTGTGTTTCCTGATTTTAAAATGTTAGTCTCTAATTTAAATAAAAACAAACAGCAAGGCTGGGGGGCTGTAGCTCAGTGGCAGAGTGCTTGCCTAACATGCATGAGGCACTAGGTTTGATCCTAAGCACCACATAAACAAATAAAATAAAGGCATTCTCTCCATCTACAACTACAAACAACAATAACAAAACAAAACAAATAAAACAGCATGAGTCAAGAATATATATATATAAATCTGGCACAGGGGTCATTTCAAAAAAAATTTTGTTGTAGGTGGACACACTATTTTTATTTCATTTTTTTTTTTTTAATGTGGTGCTGAGGATCAAACCCAGTGCTTCACCCGTGTTAGGCATGCACTTTACCACTGAGCCACAACCCCAGCCCAAGAGGCCATTATTTTTCATATTACGGAAATACTTCCCGCTATTTCAGACCTAGCTCAGTTCCTTTTAATCACTTCAATCTGTTTTTAATTCACATTCATACGCATACATTAGGTAATGTTTAACAATGACAAGAGTTCCTGCCTACAGGAAGGTTCACACACAGGACACAAAAGTAGTGAGCGCTTATGAATTATATGCTAAATAAGAACAGCTTAAAAGCTTAATAGGTATGGAGGCAGCAGGATAGCAATCTGGGGAAGCTTCCCAAAGAAAATAACTTTTGAAGCTACTATTATGCAGAACTTTAGAAAAACGAGACTAGCCTACCTAAACCCCTTCGCCTCTAAACTCCCAACAGTATGAATACTTTAGATCCAACAGTAGAATATGTCTGAACCGCAAAGTTTATTCCTGAGGTTTAGTCTGGTCTCCCTAGCAGGATCCCCAGTTATTCCTGGAATGTAACAACCACATCCTGGTTCCATGTACAAAGGCTCCTGGCACGGCATTGCGCAGGGAACAGGGTCAATTCGGCCTGTGAATGACTCTGGGCCTGCAAGAGAAGCCGTTGGCAGTCGGCAGAGAGAGAACTGGAACAGACTGGAGCAAGGAAGGAGGCGGTCGCGGCAGAATTGGGGCCGCGGGCGGGGCGCATGGAGACCCAGCCCTGGGCCAAGGGCGCAGAAAACGCAGCCCAGCGCACCGCGAGCCTCACGTCCTTCGGAGGCCCGGAACCTTCCCCCTCTAAAAAGTCAGGGTTCCGCCCCTGCTTCAGGAGGTCCGCAGGCGCCCGGGCCCCAGCTCTGCAGACGCCGTGGGGGTCTCACCTCCAGGCCACCCCATCTTCCCGCTCGGCCAGGGCCCCCTGCGCGGCCGCCATCGCGCAGCCCCTTTCCTCTCGGGGGCGGTACCGGTGGCCACTTCCGGCGTGCTCGCCGAGGCGGGGTCTCCGCCCAGCCGGACCCGCTCGCTACGCCGGCCCGGCCGCCTCCTACCGGCTCTTGGTGTCCTCTCGCCAAAAGTGACTCTTAGCGTCGCGCGCCGGGCAGGTTGGGCCCCCTGGCAGCGCAGCGCCCTGTGAGATAAGCTTCCAGAAGGAGGTAGCTTTCAGCTTCTTCCTCCCGGAGACTACCGAGACGTCGAGTCTTCCTACAGTCCTAGATGGGCCTAGGGCTGGGGTGGGCACCCTTTTAAAGTAATCTTACTCGCCCCTCCGCTTTTAATCTTTTCTACCCTTTCTCCTGAATGCAGTTTTGTTACGCCACTCCACCACCCCCATTCATTGCTTTCGATTTGCTTTGCCCTAGGCTTGGCGATACAGAAACAAACAAGGAGAGAGTCATTTTTAAAAGGTGTAGTTCTGGGCTGCGGATGTGGCTCAATGGCAGAGTGCTTGCTTAGCATGTGCTATAGTGTAACTTCTGAAGTGAAAAGAATCAGACATCCCCAGTCCTTGCCCCACCTCTTATGGGCTGTGTGTCACCTTATTGCTATACAATAAGGTTAACACTACCTACGCCAGGGACATATATGTAAAATATGCTTATGGTGAAGGCTAGATATATCTTGTTATTATGGAGATGATGTTGGTCACAGGATCATTGTGAGGGTTCCATAGGATGCATGTAAAGTTGTAAGGTTTCCAACCTTAGGCCTTTCGTGCACACAAATGTCAGTGTGCTCATCACCAAAGTTCCTCCTGTCCCTCCAGATCTTTCCATAGCACAATTTATATGCTGAACTCGCAAATGCATGTGATACTATTTGTCCCTTAATTCATGCAGTTACAATTGAGGTAGTATTTCATAACCCGTGTTAAATTTGCATTGAAGTGATGAGCCATATCTTTTAATGGACTTCAGTTAAACTTACTTTTATAGTTCATTTTACTTTTTCGCCCAGAATACACTAAATAAAAGTTATATATTGTAATTCAGCAATGTGTTTTTAAAAACTATAGATCGTGAAAAAATTAAGAGGAAAATATTTGTAACATATGACAGGATGTGGAATAATATATATATATATTATATATATACATAATATATATAAATATAATAAAGAGCTCCCAAAAAGCAATTATAATAATAATAATAAAAGGCAAAAAAAAAGGAATGCTGGAGACATCACAATACCTTACTTCAAATTAGACTACATAGTTACAGTAACAAAAACTGCCTATTACTGGCATAAAAACAGACACAAAGACCAATGGTATAGAATAGAAGATAGAGACAAACCCACAAAGGTACAATCATCTGATCCTTGACAAAGGTGCCAAAACATACATTGGAGAAAAGATAGCCTTTTAACAAATGATGCTGGGATATCTGGTTTTCTATATGCAGAAGTATGAAGCTAAAAGTTTATCTCTCACCCTGCACAAATATAACTCAAAATGAATTAAAGATCTTGGAATTAGGCCAGAAATACTTCAACTCCTAGAAGAAAACAGAGTCAACACTCCAGCTTTTAGGCACAGGCAATGACTTTCTCAATAGGACCCCCAAAAGCTCAGGAAACAGTGCCAAGAATTAATAAGTGAGACCACATCGAATTAAAAAAGCTTCTGCACAACAAAGGAAACAATTAGGAATGTGAAGAAACAACTCAGAATGGGAGAAAATCTTTGCTAGCTACTCTTCTCACATGGGATTACTATCTAGAATATAGAAAGAGCTCAAAAAAATTTATACCAAAAAAATCAAATAGCCCAATAATAAATGGGCAAATGAATTAAACAGACATTTCTCAAAAGAAGAAATACAAATGGCTGACAAATACATGAAAAAATGTTCAACATCATTAGCAATGAGGGAAATGCAAATCAAAACTACTCTGATATTTCATCTCACACCAGTCAAAATGGCAATCATCAAGAATACAAGTAAGGGGCGGGGGATGTGGCTCAGTGGCAGAGCACTTGCCTCGCATGTGTGAGGCACTGGGTTCCATTCCTGGCACCACATAAAAACAAACAAAGACATTGTATCCATCTACAAAAAAATACAAATAATAGCCAGGTGCAGTGGCACTGGGGTGTAATCCCAGCTGCTTTGGAGGCTGAGGCAGGAGGATTGTAGAATTCAAAGCCAGCCTCAGCAAAAGCAAGGCACTAAACAACTCAGTGAGACCCTGTCTCTAAATAAAATACAAAATAGGGCTAGGGATGTGGCTCAGTGGTTGAGTGCCCCTGATCAGTCCCCAGTACAAAAAAAAAAAAAAAAGAATACAAAAAATAATAATAAATACTGGAGAGGATGTGGAGAAAAACACTTACATTGGGGCTGGGGTTGTGACTCAGAGGTAGAGCGCTCACCTACCATGTGTGAGGCACTGGGTTCAATCCTCAGCACCACATAAAAATAAAAATAAAGATATTGTGTCCACCTATAACTAAAAAATAAATATTAAAAAAACCCACTGTGGTGGGACTGTAAATTAGTACTATCGCTATGGAAATCAGCATGGAGTCTTCTGAAAAAGAGTAGGCATGGAACCACTATGTGACCCAGCTATATCCCTTCTAGGTATTTACTCTGAAGAATTAAAGGCATCTTATTACAATGATACATATATAATTCATGTTTATAGCAGCACAATTCACAAAATAGCCAAACTATGGAACCAGCCTAGGTGTCTATCAAATGATGAATGGATAAAGAAAATATGGTATATATACACAATGGAGTTTTATTTGGCCATAAAGAAAAATGAAATTGTGTCATTTGCAGGAAAATAGAAATAGAAACCAGTAAGTGAAATAAGTCAAACTCAGAAGGTTGAGAGTCACATGTTTTCTCTCATTTGTGGAAGCTAGAGAGGAAAAGGAAAGATATGGGTGAATCTCATGAAAATTAAAGAGAGATCAGTAGAGGAAAGGGACCAAGGGGTGGGAGGTGAGGAGGGAGGGAGGAAATGATGGGAAGTTGGCCAAATTATATTATTATGCTGTGTGCATGTACAAATATATAACAACAGATCCTATCAATGTGTACAACTATAATGCACCAATAAAAAAATGAGGAGAAAAAGAAAAAGGCAAGTAGCCCTGGACAAAAATCAGATAAAGGGATATATAAAGTAGGATATATAAAATAATTTACAAAAGAGGAAAATAACTGGTTGAGAAACACATGAAAAGATGCTCAGTCTCATCTAGCAGATTGGCAAACATTAGAAATCTCCAGCAGGATGGACTGTGATTCTTTATTCTTTCTTGGTAACATGTTTTTGTGTATTTACCCACCTCCATTCACAAATCCTGGTGGACTAAAATCATAGTGCCACACTTTTCCTAACCATAGGAGTGGGGTATACAACTTGGCCTAGTAAATAATCTGATATCTTGTTTTTTGCTAGAGCAGTTGGTACATTGATGGGCAGGTGACCCAAGCTGGGCCATACAGATTATCTGCAGTTCATTGAATTCTTTTTTTGAGGGGAGGGGATGGGGAGTGGGGACCAGGGATTGAACTCAGGGGCACTAACCACTGAGCAACATCCCAGCCTTATTTTGTATTTTATTTAGAGACAGGGTCTCCCTGAGTTGTTTAAGGTCTCACTAAGTTGCTGAAGCTGGCTTGGAACTCTCAATCCTCCTGCCTCTCTCAATCCCCTGGGATTACAGGCATGCACCACCAAGACCCATTGCTGAATTCTTCTTCTTCTTTTTTTTTTTTTGAAAAAGAGAGAGAGAGAATTTTTTAATATTTATTTTTTAGTTTTTGGCAGACACAACATCTTTGTTTGTAGGTGGTGCTGAGGATCGAACCTGGGCCGCACGCATGCCAGAGGAGCACGCTACGACTTGAGCCACATCCCCAGCTCTGAATTCTTTTATCCAACAATTTTACCCCTAATGTTTTGAAGCCCTTCTCTTGTTGGAATATTTAGTTTTATTTTGCAATAAATTTGCACTGTATAGTTTTTGTATTATGAGACGTTTATATCATCCAAGGGGCAAAGATGCTAGCTAGTTAGTTAGGTGGGGATGGACAAGAACATTAAATGGGAAGATATGTTTGCAAACAGACTTACTTTTAAGTAGAAGTTGATGAGTGAATATTTTCATATTTTGATGACTTTTCCATACCCAAACTCTTACCTGTGGAGACTTAGTTAATGAATATTTAAAAAATGAGGATTCTTCTAATAATCACCCTTAGGGAAGGGCTGTTTTGATGGTGATAAAGGGAGTTCTCTGTAGTGAGGGGACTTGAATCCCTTCATTGTCAGTGCAGTAATTTTAGCTTGTCTTTGTTTGAAAGAATCTTAATTAAATATGACTACTTTGTCATAGTTTTTGTCTTTGTTATTGTTGTTGTTGTTATTATTATTACTATTTTTATTTTGCAATGCTGGTGATGCAGGGCCTTACACATGCTAGCAAGTGCTCTTTCACTGAATGAACTACACTCCTGACCCCCATCATAGTTATTAGTGTTCTAGAATTGTGGAAGTGAAAGGCATTCTGAAGATCATAGTTTTCTACCTTTTTTCTGAGCACAATTAAGTTTCCTCTCCCCTCACTCTCCAATTCTTGGCTTATTTTTGCGCTACACATTGAGGTTAAAAAAAAAATGAACAAAACCAGATGGTGGGGGGGAGGCTGTGAATGTTTTTTTTTTTTTCTTTCCTCCTGGCAGTAAACCTTTATTGAATAGTTACTATGCACTTCTGTTCCTCTGCATGCAGTTGCAAAAAAACCTCTCACCATGTAAATCAGAGATAAAACAAAATGAAGAAAAGAGGAAAGAAATAAAAATATCTTTAAGTGAAGAAAATTTATTATTGATTTTGCTTTTTGGTCTGAGAAATGTTAACAATTTTATCTAAATTACCTTAAGGAACTCCTCCAATGTCCATACTTATTATAGGTCTAACAAAGAGGTTCACATTGGTGATTTAATTTCTAGAAAGGCTTTCTGTTCCAATAACAGAATGCCTCCAAACAAAATTTGTCCCCCCCCCAAAAAAAATGGATGAATACTGAGGACTGGATCCCTTCCCTTCCCTTTCCTCCCCTTCCCTTTCCTTCCCAGGGTTTGAGGCATACTAGGCAAATACTTTATCACAGAGGTACACCCTGCAGCTGTTTTAAAGGCTGTTTTGCCCATAATGTGTTGACTTCTTAACACACCACTAGAAGGCAGTGGTTTGCAACCCGTGGTTGGGAACAGCAGGAACCCAGCACCTTTATTTTTAAACAATAGAAAAAGGAGCCTCCTAGTTATGCAAGATTCGCAAGGCCCCTGTCCATTCCTACCCTTCTAACTAAAAGTCTATATTTGTAAAAATGTGTTCATGAAATAGAGTTCAACTAACAGGTGGCAGAACTATATTTGTACCTCCTCTCTTTGTTTCCTGTAGCCTCACTCCCTTTCCATCCTCCACAAAAATTTGTTGAGCACCTACCCTGTGCCAACATATGCTAAGTTACTGGGTATGCAGTGGTGAGTAAAGAAGCACCAGTGCAGCCCTCATGGATCTGATGGATAGCCCCTTATCAATGGATAGATAGGTCAGTTTCACTTCTTGTTAAAGCAAACATTACTACAAAGAGTAGATTATACGTGTGCATGGATTTTTCTAGGGCACCGGTTCTCAAAATGTGGTGTGGGTCAGGAAACCAAAATTATTTTCATAATTATTCTAAGATATTAAACCCAGGGGCACATCCCCAGCCCCAGCCCCCCCCCTTTTTTTTTGTATTTTATTTAGAGACAGGGTCTCACTGAGTTGCTTGGGGCCTCGCTAAATTGCTGAGGCTGGCTTTAAATTCACAATCCTCTTGTTTTAGCCTCCTGAGCCACTGGGATTACAGGCTTGTGCCACCACACCCAGCTATTTGCCTTTTTTCATGCTCATTCATGAATGTACAGTGGAGTTTTCCAGAGCCTACAGGACATGTAAAATTGTAACTGATTGACTTTAAAAACAGATGTGAGACTCAGGATATTTTCTATTAAGCCAGATGTGAAAGATTGCAGTGACACTCTCCTTCCTAATTTTTTTTTTTTGGTTGGGGAAATATTGTTATTTTAATTAAAATATTATTTATACTAATATGTAATAAGCTTTTTGTTATTTTAAATGAATTAAATGTTTTAACACTTTCTCAGCTTTAATTTCTAATATGGAAATATCAGTGGGCTTCTTATGCATAAATAAAATCTTTTCGGTGTCTCCAATCTTTTGTTTTTCACATCAGGTGGGTAATGAGCTGATAGTGTAACAAGGTTTGAATTAGGCACATCTCATAGGATGACATGGAAACCTACTCATGATATCTATGAACCACAAGATCTCAATTACTTTTTTTTTTTTTTTTTTACTGTACTAGGAATTGAACCCAGAGGTGTTTTACCGCTGAGCTACATCCTCAGCTCTTTTTATATTTTATTTTGAGACAGGTTCTCACTAAGTTACCCAGGTTGGCCTTGAACTTGCATTCCTCTTGTGCCATTGCACCGGATCCTCAATCACTTATTTTAAGAGTGTAATAAAGACCTGGTAACAAAGTTTGAGAGCAACTGTTCTAGGGTATATATCCTAAAGTGGAGTTTCTGGGTCATAGGCATCCATAATTTCAGTTTTACTTGATGTTACCAAATTGTTCTCTGAAGTAGCTAAAGCTAACCTCTTTTAAAAATCTATATATCCTTGGGCTGGGGTTGTAGCTCAGTGGTAGAGCACTTGCCTCGCATGCGTGAGACCCTGGGTTGGATCCCCAGCACCACATAAAAATAAATAAATAAAAATAAAGATATTGTGTCTATCTACAAGTAAAAATTTTTTTTAAAAAAATCTATATATCTTGGTGTTTCGAGCTTTTTTTAAAACCACAAATCATAAAAAATTGTGGAGTTATTAAACTAGACCAATAGTGTAACAGGGATTTGGTCTATGGAAATATTGATTGAATATCTTTTCCAAACTACAGTGAGAAATGCAGAGCAATATTTGTTTGTTTGTTGTTCTGGGGATTGAAACCAGGGACTTGTGTATTCTAATCTCATGCACCATCACTGAGTTACAACCCCCAGCTTTAATATTTATTTATTTAAATATTTTTTAAAAATTTTTTTATGTAGATGGATATAATACCTTTTTTTTTTTTTTTTTAGGGGAGAGCCCAAGGATTGAACCCAAGGGCACTTGGCCACTGAGATACATCCTCAGCCCAATTTTGTATTTTATCTAGAGACGTGGTTTTACTGAGTTACTTAGTGCCTCGAAGTTGCTGAGGCTGGTTTTGAACTTTCAATCCTCCTGTCTCAGTTTCCCAAGCTGCTAGGATTATAGGCATGTGCCACCACTCCCAGCCATAATATTTTTTTTAAATATTTTTTTTATTTTTTAAAATATTTTTTTAAATATTTATTTTTTAGTTGTAGTTGGACACAATACCTTTATTTTATTTATTTATTTTCATGTGGTGCTGCAGATCGAACCTAGGGCCTCGCACGTGCTAGGCAAGCATTCTATTGCTGAGCCACAACCCCAGCCCCAATACATTTATTTTTATTTATTTATTTTTATATGATCTTGAGGATCGAACCCAGTGCCTCACATGTGCTAGGCAAGCACTCTACCCTTGAGCTAAAACCTCAGCCCAATATTTATTTTTAATGTACTCAGAGGAAGTAGCTTTGCAGAGTGTCAACATCGAATGTATCGGAAATTTTATTTTTGTTTGGTGGCTCATGGGAGGTAAAAGGGTAAAAGTCATGCAAATAAACTTATTTTTTACACAGGGGAATTTTGTTATTTTTAAATACTACTTTCTACAATTTTTGCTAAAACCATGTTCTAAAAAATGCCAAGGCATCTAATGTTAACAACAACAAAAAAAATGCAATAACTGTTAGTGCACAAGTCTCTTTGTACATGACAGTATATTTTAAGCAATTTCGGGTTGGTTTTTGACTGTAGAATATTTATGCTATTTTAAGTGTAACATCTAAAACTTTAACAGTGTTAAATTTTGGTAATAGACTATATGGATAAGTAAGAAGACTGAGTTTTACAGTTGAAGAGCCAAGGTGCAGTAATATAAATTGGTTGTCCATCTCTACCCCACCCCGTGTTGGGGACTGAACCTAAAGGTACTATACCAATGACTTATGTCTCTAAGACAGTCTTGCCAAGTTGCCAAGGCTGGCCTGGTCCTCCTGTCTCATCTTCTGAAGTAGCTGGGATTCTTGGCCTATGCCACCAAACCCAGCTAATTGGCTGTTTCTTAACAATGGTTTTGCACATAATGATCTGTGCACTCTGCTCTAGTAAAATGAAATGTGACTACAGTCAACTTTTACCTATTTATGGTGGAGAACTTTGAGAAATAAAGTGTCCAAAGCAGGACTCTTTTGAGAGGGAAAAAGGGTGTTATTAATAATGATACCAAAACTGGGCATAGTGGTACATGCCTGTAATCAATCCCAGCTACTCCAGAAGCTGAAGCAGGAGGATCGTGAGTTCCGACCAGCAACAGCAATTTAGGGAGACCCTGTCTCAAAATCAAAAGGGCTGGGAATGTGGCTCAGTGGTAGAGTGCACCTGGGTTCAATCCCCAGTACTGGAAAATAAAATAGATACCAAGATTTCAAACAAAAGCCATAACTACCTGGAGCAAAACTGAATGGAGTTACCTTTGACTAAGACATAATCCTAACCCTTAAGGAGGCCAGTATCTAACAGGAAAAAGAGAGAGTAACCATAAGATGGTGATAATTATAAGTGCAAGAGAAGTGCTGAGGAAGGGTGCACATAGCCAACAAGGAAGGACCTCTCAGGGAAAATGATGCTCCAGCTGGCCCCCCTGCAGTTTATTGGATGAAAAAGAGAAAGTGTGTTCCCAGGTGAAGGAAAGCAACATACAAAGCCTTAGCACCAATGTTATGCTTTAGGGGAGCTGCAGGTTCCCACGGTCTGGGGGTGGTGGGAGGAGAAGAGGTATTAAAACAAGACCAGTGGAGCATAGGTTAACTGGTCTTGCGTCGTGTTCTAAGTATTTGGATTTTGTCCTTGTAGACATAAGGGTCCACTGAAGGATTTTAAGGAGGACCATGACCTAATCATGTTTGTGTTTTAGAAAGTTCCCTTCTGGTGGGGCATGGTGGAGTTTGCCTGTAACCCTGGCAACTCAGGAGGCTGAGGGAGGAGATCAAAAGTTTAAGGCCAGCCTTTGCAACTTAGTGAGACCCTGGTTCAAAACAAAAAGGGTGGGGGATGTAGCTTAGTGTTAGAGTGTGACTGTAACAGTTCTAAAAAAAAAAAAAAAAAAAAAAAAAAGAAAGAAAGAAAAAGAAAATCTTTCAGCAAGTGGAAGATGGATTGAGTTAGGAGTAAAGAGGCTTTTTAATCATTAAGTCAGATGAAAGATGACAAAATCAAGATTAGGCAGTGATGGTGGGGATGGTACTAAAGGGCAGAATTGAAAGCATTTAAAGAATATTGTGTCATGTAACCAAAAAGTCTAGAGGTTATGCCTACGCTTATAAGGATTTGTACTCTCTTCTTAGCTTAGTGGTTTCTGTGAAAGGTTCTGACTTGAGAATTTATATCACTTCAACTTCACATTTAGTGATAGAGAACCCCTGTCCTGGCTGTCTGTGCCTCTAAAGATGACCCATGTTCTCCCTTGAATGTGTATTTCCTGGTTTACCTCAAAGTGTCTCTTTGAGGTTACCTCCATTTTCCCTTGGATATGTACTACTTTCCTAAATAAACCTCTTTCTATGCCTTTGAAAAAAATGTATTTGAATTATAAAAATATAATTTTTTTCTTGTAAAAACCAAAACCAAACCAAACCAAAACAAAACAAAACCGGGCCCTGTTCCCAAAGCTTCAACTGACCAATCACTGAGGCCAGGGGAATGAGAATTTCTGATTGAACAGTCTGGGTTACATGCTCTACTTCTGAGCAGGAAGTGAGGCTTTACACAAATTGCAAACCGAGCAAACAGAAATCATATTCCATAGGAAAATCTGAAGCTTTTTCTGGAGCAAGTGGAAAACGTACTAGGGAGGTGAAGCGCAGTCATCCACCATGGGAGCAAAGTTGGTCAGCAAAGGTGACCCTCCAGGACTCTTCTCTGACTATTGCCTTGGAAGCTGTGGAGAGTAGTCCACAGAGCAAGGTCTTCTCTTAGTCAAGAGGGAGTCTTATCCTCTTTCCCTCAATTTCCATAGATGAGTCCTCTTCTTTCTCCATGAGGAGCAGGGAGGGACTAACTTGTTGAAGTTGCAACTAAGACATTCACTGAGAATATGGATGAAGTTATTTTGCCTCGAAAGGAAGAATAAGCTTAAACCCTTCTCATTATCCGAAGTGCAGCTGCTCCTTCATTTTCTTTTCTCAGTAAGTGGGTGAGCAGACAGGAGGAGCTGGTCTTCCCAGATTTGCCTGTATATAGAGTGATAACAAGGAGGCTCCCTTTTTATCTTGGGCCTGAAAGTGTAGGTTTATTTTAAATCATTAATTTTTAATTAATTAATTAATTAATTAAATTTTTTCTAAGTAAACTATGAATACAATGTGTGATACTTCAGCATCTGTACACAAGGGGTACTGGCAAAATCAGGATATTTGGTGTTTCCAAATCTAGAACCATTTTATCTTTGGATATATTTCAGGGTAAATTGCAGGCATCAACTTGTGTTCATATCATTAACTAGAGTTCAATATTTGTTTACATTTTTTTGAGGTACAATGTACATAGGTTGAAACCTAAAAATCTTCAATGTGCATCCACAGAGTTTTGACAAATGTCTACACTGGTGTAACCACACCTGCAAGACTTATAACCATGAAAACCAATGGCACCTGCTTGAGATATTATCTAAGAGTGTAGGAAAGAACTAATCCATGGGATTGTGCTTCAGGGAAGGGCAATAGGAAAAGAGGGAGAAGAAGGCTCTTGACTGTTTACATCCCACCAGTCCTGCCTGTTCAATGTCATGGTTACAGTTGAGCCCTTAGAACACTGCTTGACACAGAGGAATATTCAGTCAGTGCCAGCTGCTATTAGTGTTGCTATTATTGTCACTGTACCTACCTGACTGGCAATTCTTTGTTTTTATTAGTCTGAACCCTGTAAGAGAAGAAAGGTGAATGGTAGAATCTAGACACCACGCCTAAACCTGATCTAACTGCTGTGAAACTGTAACTGAAATTGGCTTCAGAGTTGTTTATTTTCCTGGTGAGCGTTTCAGCCTTGAGGGAGGGGTAGGATAGTCTGCCAGTCAGCCTGGAGCCAAATGTTACATCTCTTATATTGATGCTTCTTCCTGCAGAAACATC